CTGCCTGTTGCATCATGCGTAATCTCAAAGCTACATGATACGGGAAGTCAGACTACAAAGAATTTTTATCCAGTGCAATGTGGCTAGGGTACACTTCATGAATGCGCAGTAACCATGATTATTCTTAGAGAGGAACATGCACTCAAGCTATAATTAGGGTTCCTAACAGTTAAACAGCTTATAGTCTTCAGATTGTAAAGGACTGCCACACTGCGCTCAATTCCAACCTAATATACATGCACATGAGAATGCTAAGAACACCTCATGTTGAGCCTATCAGGGATAGAAGATGGTCCTCTCCATGAAAAATAGCCAAAGGAAAAAAAAAAACCCAAAACAAACCAACCCACAGGAAAAACCACACTGTAAAAGATTTGAACTTCCTCTCATTCATGAACCTGATGACACAACACACATTTGCAAGCTAAATCAGGTAAACTTTAAAGAGCTTCAGCCACCATCAGTTGGACAATATATTTCATCCTCCATTAGCCAGTTCAAGTGACAGTTGGATTACCTCTTATCGCATCAGCATTATTCATTTGGCACTTCTTTCTGACTATATTTGTTATATTCACTTCATGAATGCAACTAGATGCCAACACTTCACCCTTGCTACTGCAGTTTCCTTACCATGACAGTTCAGGCCCAGTTGATCCCAGCAAGGTCTATAGCTAATGAGATCCCATTTTCACAAGATTCAAGATTAAATGGTACCAGAAACCTATATACTATGAAACCTAAGTAGAAACAGGGTGGTTTTCTGGGAATTACTCCTAATTTGAAGATCTCCTCACCTTACAGTTCAAACTCCATTATAATGAAACACAGTATCTTGACTAGCGTGCGTAACCAAATCCAGAAAGAGTAATAATCTCAGACATTTCAGATTGGAATCAGCTGGCATTAAAGTACAGTTTTAGCACAACACTCAGTACCTACGTTCCCCAAATCCAAAAAGCTAGGCTTCATGGGATCCAGCTGCCTGTGCAAACTGACCTAGGCATTGGTTCAGCTTGGACCAAGTCTGCTAACTGAAGGGAACACAGAAACAAAGTTGGACTGGAACCCAAATAAGAGGTAGTCTGCAAGAGACAGGTTACTTTTTTTGCCATTTGTCTGCACACCCTGGTGTGCACTCACCAGTTTCTTTAATTTCAACTTTAATAATTCACCTGCTACTTAGTCTCTAGTGTTACTGCAGTGTAGTAGGGAATGGAAAATCTAGGCATCCAACTCACTTATAAAGTAACTATTACTGGACATAAGGTTTAGAACAGGCAATATTAAAAGCCTGCTTCTACACTGGATGAGACGTCAATATCTCCTCCCAAATTTCAAAAAACATACGCTGCTTATTCCTTATTCATTTGTGCTTGGGTAAAAAGGTGGGGTCACCTTAAAGTGACTCCCTCTTCAAAACTGTGAAATATTTCTAAGACTGGTTTTGGAAAGACCTCCTAAAATTAAGTAATCATTAGTTTACATTATCCCTCTATTAGAAGGTGAATCTAGACAATTTAAAATGTACTTCTTAAAAGCTGTGGGAGCCTGCCACTAAGGCTATGTAGTCACCTTCCTGTAAGGATGTCTCACCTTATTCCATTTATACACAATTTTGTTCTGCTGGAAGGATCTAAACTGTAGAGATTTCCCACTATGTGCTTTGTAATTGTGTCTACATTACAGTTTTTGGCTGCATGCTGAACACCAATTACAGATTAGAGGCCAGAGACACTTTAAATGTCAGTGAAATCAAGGTAGGATACAGCGTGCTTAAGGAGATGATACGTATTTTGTATTTCTTCTACCCTATATATCATTAGGGATGACTAACCCAAACTGTACCTTAAAGGCACCTTTAGGTCAACTGCCTCTCACATTAGTTTGTATATCTACGTAATTTCTTACAGTCTACCCTAAAATGGAGATGACAAACTAATCTGTGTTCAATGAAACTGCAGTCCACAGGGTGAAAAAATTTCTTTGGGCGCCCCTAAAAACTTCCACACCCATCTCATATGACTGAAATCCCCATGTATTAGGGTCCTAACACAACCAGAATCCAGATCTCATCAACACTTTTTTTTTTGGTAAGAATGCAATCTACTGTTAGTTTTCCAGGGAGAAACAGTCACAAAAGCACCTTCTACAAATCCAGAGTTTTCTGTTGGGAACAATTAGGGGAGAGCCCCACTCAGAGATGAAGAGTACCAGAAACACAAGTATAGCTCAATGAACAGGGACAGACTGAAGAAGGAAAAAGGTGGTGTCATTGACAGAAGAGAAATAAGAAGGCCAGCAACTGGCAAAAAACCTTCATGAAGTTCAAAACTATGGCTCCACCTTATTCACTACAGGCGTACTTCAAAAAAATAACCCATACGCAGTTTCCTCAAGCACCCTCCTGAAGGAGAGCCTATTCTTTCAGCCTATTCTTTTCTTTCTTTCCATTCAGATACTCAGTCTTTCACACCGATGTCAGAAAGCCCTTCTTGTATTTCCGTTTCTTCCCCACTCCTCTTCAATTGGAAGTTATTTTCCTATTCTCTCTAAACATGTCACAGCTAGTATCACCCAGCTAACTTGGCGTTTCCCCTTCCTCATGCACAGGCATCCCACGTTAGTACTGTAAACTCTTCGCATTGCTCTTTCCTTACTTTCACATGCCAGTGATCACAGCAACACATGCTGGTTTGCATTCAGCAGAGAAAGCATTAAATTGGCGTGACACTCCTAAAAACCATTGCATTTCAAGTGACAAACCAATGCAACAGATTTGCAACACTGCCACAGAAATAGGTCACAGCTACTAGATACCAGCAGACAAGCCTCTATTTTTAACAGGCTTTTTTGGCCAAAAGCCTGTTCGCCCATTTCCACCAAGTACTTAGGAAGTCTCTTAGAAACGCAGGAGCACAAGGCAGAGTTGGGAGAGATCCCATGTGCTGCATTGCTCTAGGAATCCTGTCGTTAAGCTGGTGGCACTGAAGAACTAGGCAGGAGACAGCGCTCTCACCTCTTGGAAAGGTCACTTTCTGAGTGCTGGAGCAACCTTCCTGAGCCCTGGTAAAAGCTTTTCATGAAAGAAGGGGCAGAGACAGAGGAGGGGAGACCAGGTGACGCAGATTCACTCTCACGGAGAGTGCGCCGAACCCCGACAATAGGGCTGTGCAGGCAACAAAAGAACATAGGAGATGGGTCAGCATGGATTCGGATACAACAACAAAACATCCAGATTAAAGATACTGGCCAAGTACCTCATCTTGGCTTACTGTAACTTTGTTTCCCAGAAGATAAAATGTACCAAGTGCACTACTGGGCAGTTTCCCTGATGATATTGATTTTGCCGTTACAGCTGATTTCTTTTAAGAAACATTTCAATGACATTGCAGAACAGGCAGACCACCTTATTCCTTTAGCCTTATTTATTCCCAAAGCAAATTCAGAAAAAGAATCTCTGAAACATTCAGAAAATATCCTTAGAAACCTGCTTCCAATAACGTGAACCACCTTGTTTCTTCCCTTCAGTTGTCTCTTGCTCTTGTAAATAACGTGTATTGCTAGAATACATTAGAAAGTAGAGATTATTTATTTTTGGATAAATTTTTGTGAAATGTTTAAGTCAAGAAAGATAGTCCTACTACACAGTTAAACACTACTCAAGTATAGTAACAAGTGTTTGGGAGACATAAAAATTAATTCAGTTTCTTTTACTTAACATTTTTGATTAATCCTCAATAGGAAAGGAAAGAAGAAAAAATCCCAGCCTAGAATCAAGTTGTTACAAACTGTTTTGGCTGAGAATCCGCTGATCATGCTACTTAATCAGTGACTTCTTAAAAGTTATTACAAAGAAGTGAAGTCAGCAAGTCCTTCAGTTTGAACTGTCAGGGTTTCCTGTTTGCATACAACATGGTCAGTGGGAAAAAAAAAATAACCAAAGTTTATCTCAGTAAAAACCACATTATTTATCTCTTCAGAAACACAATGTAACAAAGCTATTTCAAGGCTAGTTTCTTACCCTTCACCCCCTTCCATTCTCTTAAACAGAATAAGCTTTTTTGCCTTTCTCTACAAGCTGGTGCGGCATTCACTGATATTTTAAGCTAGACATCAAACGGGTGAGAAATTATTATTTAAAGCCATTTTTAGAAAAAGCCCACAAAAAGCATAATTGCAGCCAAGCACTGAAACAGACAAGTATTTTGGAGAAAGTGCTCCTCCAACAGAAAAAAATTCAGCTCATCTGGGCCTGAATCTTGTAACGGTTTTGGAGTTTGCATGGTCACTTACTGCAGATAGCCAGGATGGAGGCAGAGAAAGAAAGTACAACCAAGGAAGCCCACAATGAACTGTGGGGACCTCTTCTGACTGAGTGAAGGAACAGTATTCCACATGTTAATAGCTGGAGAGTCTCCAAAAAAGAAGGGGAAAGAAGTTACAAAGGCAAGCTCCAGAAAAAGGCAAACAGGGAAATTGCATGCCTCACAGTTCAGTGGAGGTGTTTAATCATTAAGACCTTCTGTGAGACTCCTCACCAGTTTTAATTCTGGATGTACTCGCTGGGAGCTTGGCTAACACAGTGACTGACACTTGAAGCTGTCAGTGCCTTTTCCATCCTGGCATAAAACCGTCAGGCTATCGTCTCTGCAGTTAAAAGCGGTGAGGACCTCTTCTCCAAAGGGCCTGACTACCGACACTGCCAGAAAGGCTCAGCTCAGAGGTGACAAATCAATAAACAAACAGATCGGCGCCGGCATCCAGCCTGATGATCGATTTGCTGGATTGACGCTTCCCCTGAATCACTAATTCAGGGATTAGCGAGTTGCTGCAAGGCAGCAAACTGCTCTGAGCCGGAGAAGACGGGCTGAAAATAAATAAATAAATCAAACCCAGAGCAGGGCAGAAACAGCTTCCGTAAGAAGGAACACGGGTGAGGCTCGTGTACCGGAATCACAGGGGACAGCAGGCTCGTGGCGCGGCATGCCCTGACTCACCTTGTCGCCTCGACGCAGCTCTGCCGCAGCAGCGGGGACCGGACGCTCTGGGACCTCCCGTTCTGGAAGGTTATCCTCCGCCTGGTGCTGGAGGGGGGGTGGCTGAAGGTGTGCGCGCGCCTCCTGAACTGGGGGGAGTCCGAGTCTTCCTCGGGAAACGGCTGCCAGGCCGAGAACACGGGGGATGCCGGCGGAGTAGCTGGCGGGGAATCGCCGTCCTGAAAGGAAGTGCTGGCAGAGTGAGGCCTGCCGCTCTGCGCCCTACGAGAACTCTCGCCTAACCCCACGGGTCGCGCGCCGCGTCGGGGCACCGAAGCCTCTCCCCCTTCTTGGTCATGGCCTATTGTATGTTAATTATCACCAAAACCAGACATCCTTTGATAATTTACGCCAAGCCAGCAGCGTCCTTCTTCAAAAAAAAAAAAAAAGAAAGAGGAGAGAGGAACAAAAATGTATATGCAATGCAAACAACATGCTAATTACTCAAAAAACACAGGGATCGCCATTCCAGCTACCTGACTTCTGGCTCTTTCGGGAAAACACAGGAATTGAAAAGACTAGGGAAACTGCTTTTAGCTAGTTTCCTCGACAGATCATGAGCACACTTCCTGTACCGTCATAGCGATATCCTGGAAGAGAGACTGTTTTTACACAGCCAGTTTATGAGTAACTGTAGCAGGAAAACCATAACAGAATCTTCACCTCCTGGGAAAACCAGCAACCAATCCTCCATGAGGTAAAACATTAAAAACAGGAAATAAAAAGAAAGTGAACAGAGTTCCACCCGCTCGCCCCCATACAGCATCCCCAACAGCTGGTTTTAGGTCAAAAAATTCTTACTTCCCTAAAGCAACTGTTACTTACAGAAAGGATTCTTCACCTTCAGAGCATTTTCTTTTGTTGAGATACGAGCTTTTTTAATTACTTCAGTGAAACAAAGCAGAAGCTGACCAGAAATTCCCTGCTTTTTGTAAAAGCAAGGGAAGTGTAGAAAAAAAGGACTGGCAATCAAACAACAGATTAAAACTGAAGCTTCAAGTCAACATATATGCCAGCTTTTTTACACTCTCCGCCTCCCAGTGGAAACTCTTATTTGAGTTTCGTAAATTGAGATGCTTTGTGCTACTTCCTTCCAATCGAAGCAGAGTGCCATATTCACGCTTCATTAACACCCGTGCATGAAAACGTGTCAATTTTAACTAAGCTCCTTACGTACTTTGTCAGAAGCAAGGCTGTTGCAGCGCTCAAAGCTGTCCACGCTTCCCAGGCGGCCTCGCATTCTGTTGGCTCCCTGCAAGAAAAAAGGCGAGTAATTTAATCTGGCCCTTTTCCTCTTTTTCTGAAGGTTAAGCAAAGATGGCAACAGCTGTGTAGGTGAACACAGGACAGTTCAGGCATGTGACACATTTGACGTAAGGCAAGCACTGGATTTTACAAGCAGTGACATCTTTAGCTGGCAAAACTGTATCTTCTCCCCCCTTGCTCCCAGGAGTTTTAAACCTGCAGCTCCGTTGTCTGAAGCAACAGAATATTTCTTGATCCATTTGAGGCAAAATAGCCGACTTGGCTTGAACAGCCGAGTTCAAAAAGCTCCAGACTTCAGTACTGTGCATGCGCTGCAGCTAACGGATGCATTTGACATACTACGATCTAAACAGGAAGTTTACTCCACATCTAGACATTTCAGACAAATTAATTCCACCTCGGCAAAAGTAACGAAAGCACTAAAACTGGGAAAAAACGCGCTCTGGCTGCAAATCCAGCCAAATAGCGCCAGATACAAACAAGCCTTTTCAATTATAACGCACATAACCCTGAGGCAAATTTGCTAGAAATTAGCATTAGCAGATCCTTGCAGAAATTGTCAACAGTTTCACAGGAAGAGGTCATAGAGACGCAATACTTTTGACTACCTTAGTTAGTCTGACTCACCTGAGTTCAACTCCCATGAAACATGGGTGATGTATGCTGTTGGACACTTCCAACTGCTGAAGTTCTTTTCAGTACTTTATCAGGGGAAAAATAGTCTAGGTTTTAGGAAAACTATACGTCGAGGTCCTCTTGGTTTGCTTACAACTACAGGGGAAGTTTTGTCAACATCGTCAGTATTCATTTAGCCTACTTTATCCTGGTAAGGTTTATTTTCAAGACTTAGAGTGCCCTTTAAGTACATCATCCTATTTAAGCTCATTACCACTGAATACTCTGCCTGAAGCATCTCTTCACTGACCCTCACCATAAAAAAAGAGCAAAGGATAACTTGGAAGTTTCTCACTAGCTTTAAAAACACACACTTTTGGCACTGTAAGAAGGGCTTTTTGGTTCAGAAAAAACAACAACAGAAGAGGTTAGTGCAGCATGGCTTGGAAGAAATCTGTTCATAAGGTCAAACTGAGGTTATATTTATTTTTCTGAGGTACCTCATTAGGAAGCCACAGCCTGTTTTCAGTTCAAACCCAACAAAAATAAGATCAGTCCAGCAAAACAAACAAGTGAAAAAGTGACATTCCTCTGGGACTAAGGGAAGCCAGAGCACAGAACCCAGCATGTTTCCCTATGGCAAGCAGAGAGCAGCTACTCCTTTAAGTAGCTTAAAATGTCACTTGATGCTATTCATCTAGCTAAGAAGCCATCCACTTAAAGTGTTCTTAGATATCTGGTTACTACATACTTATTTCTAATTATGCTAAGATTGAGGCTGCGTAAGTCCCTCCCCCGCATATACTGACTTTTACTTTTTACTTAAATCTTTTTATCTACAAAAAGATGCTGAATGCCAATTTTTAAAAAAAACGAATTTCTTTCCTGGTCTCTTTGTTACTAAATATACTTTAAAATAAAGATGATAAGTCATGCAACAATTAGCATCCCATTACCTCAATACCATGTGATTTGCAGCTGGCTTAAGGAGGGGAAAACCCACCACTCCAATAGGTATTTGGTGCCCAAATACCTTTATGAATTAGCCACAATCCATTAGGCTTGTTGTAATAGCCTGATGAAGAATAAGAACTACTGAAACAGTCACTGTATAACACATGTATGCACATAACACACAGTATACACGCACAGAGACACTTGTCGTTTATACCTGCTTTAACCAAATAATTAGTGGTTTTGCTGCACGGTAAATTATTTTTCTCGGTCTTGCATCATGTAACCTTTAAATGGATCTGCAAGGATGAACCCCTATGCATATCATGAGTCACTATAACATGCTGCTGTTCCTGATCTCTTGCAGTTTCAAGTTAAAGATGAGACAACCTTCCTCACAACAGCAAGTCCGCTTCATAAATAGCAAACTTAAAATGGCCCTAATCCAGACTCAGGTGCCCACTTCTCTTGAACTCAGTCATGGTCTGTGTAGATCCTTATACCGTAACATGCAGCACTTCACAGCAGCCCTGGTGAGGAACATACTATATCAAAACCAACAATATATAAGGAATTTCCCTTCAGAGACTCTTCAGCTTAAGCAGTGCATTTCATCTAAATCATTTTCCCTTGACAGGACCAGAGTGCTAGTATGTCCGTATATGGCAGGGCTGCTTTACTGTGTTATTCCCAGTGATGCACGCCTGTTCCACAACCACTGCAGGGTTAGTGACCCACCGTCAGAGCTAGATCACTTTCCAGTCACATGTCCTTTAGATGTGGAAAAGAAATCAGACTCAGCACAGGCATGACTAGCTGTCACGATTTGATGATACTCCAGACAGCTGAAATTATCCAGATCTTCTGACTGTCACCACTCTCTTTTGCGTGCTCTCTCTCTATTCAGACCAAGTCCCTGGTGTGTAAAATTTGCTACACACCATAGGCCAGATTTGACCAGGAGTGTTTTAATGCTAGCTTCAGTCCTAGGTCAAATTCACGTCTAACCTTAAGTACAAACAGTTCCAAGGATTCTCCCTGGCAAATAATATTTTGCCTCCTTTATAGGGAACATCTGTGGCATTCTACGTTTGCAAGTTACTTTATGACATACCCATATAAGCTGCAGGACAAGAGCAACCTAGGCCTTGATTTAGCACGGTACTTTTAAAATTACTAGCAGAAGGAACTTAATTTCACTGCTCTAAATTATATTTAGACCTCGCCATTCAGTACTCATAGCTCATGACACTTTCTCTGTAACGACATACTGGATCCCAGGCACCCAGCCTTCTTCAGTTACTCCTCTATATGCCTATTCTCTGCTTTCAGAACTCTCCCTACTGACCAGGAGACACTAAGCGAAACTTGCAATTCAGACTTCTTCTTTAAAAGGCTATTTAATATAAGAGAGTTCCAGTAATTATCTGCAATTCCACATCATACCTGGCTAGCAACACTGAAATGAAGAACTTTTTTTTTTTTTTTTTTAGAAATCTGTTGCCTTTTTTTTTCCCCTGCAGAAGGACAACTTTGTTACTACTTTCTAAAGATTCTTAGTGACCACTATGAGTAATTTTAGCTATGAGAGGTAAGGCATTACTTCTCAGAACAGAAAGATTTCCAGTTTATGCAGGCACATTTAGTCATGCTTTCAAAAAAAGATAACATCTCTTTACAGGATCATGCAATCATCCTGATTAATTTCTTTTATTCTGCAGCAACACATCTGAAAATGCTCAGCTAACTCACTTGCCACCTACAACGAACATTCCTTATTCAGAAAAAGTTGCCTTTTCTCCCTCTGTATGTGTGATTTTACCGTAAACTTTCTAGCACAGTTAAGTCACAATCAACCCCGCTATAACCCTCAGATTTCACAACGGGGATGTTGCTTCATTACGTATTTATCAGACTGAGGCCAAAAACAACAACAAAAAAATCTGATAGGTCTTTACCGTCAAGGATATCTGGGAGAGCTGCTGACAATGAGTGGTTAATCTTACCCTTGAGAAGATATTTTCCAGAGAGCTAGTCAAGGATTTCTTGGCCTTGTTTTTCAGAATGTCAAGTTTAAACCTGCCACCACTGGTGGTGCTTTCTGGAATCGCACTGTTAGAAATGGTCTGTTGAAATGAGCAAGGACACAATTCAGCTTTGGCAATTCTTTTTGCAATTGCAGACCTCCAAAGACTAGAGATGAATGAAGTTACATAATAAACAACATGTAACTTGGCCTTTATTTAAAAAACAAACAAACAAACAAACAAAAAAACCCCAAAAAACCTCACACACCCCCAAAAAACCAAATCCACAAAAAAAATAAAACCACAGTTAAAGGCACATTTCATCCTAAAGACTATCTTGTAAAAGCGTATCAATGTAACAATACTGTTACCCATTTCCTTTGCTAGATAAGTTTGTCATTTAAACTGAAACCAATGCCCTCTTCATCCCTATTCCCCCTAGAAATGACTGTTTGGGAGTGATGATCAGGGAGGAAGGAAAAAGACAGAAGAGGTATCCTCACACTGTAAGGAAATCTAGACCTAAAAATAATTGGTTGTCTTTCTTCCCTCCCTTCCCCCCCCAAACTTTAAAAAAAAAAAAAAAAAGCATGCCACTGTAAATCAAATCAAATTACTTCTCTTTCACAGTCCTCTCTTAATTACAATAGCCAGCTTCAGCTACTCCTGATGAACTCTAGCAGTGGCCCTGCTAGTATTCAAGGTTGCATTTTAATAGGGTGGGAGGAGGGAGAGGAGTAATACAGAAATAAGCTTTACCGATGGTGCTTCATCAATGTGAATGTGCGTTTTCTGCTTAGTTTCACAGAGTTGGCGTAGATGTAAGATCACAAGTTCATTTTCTTCCTGGTCATTGTCAGGCTTCATTTTCTGTCAATAACAGCAAAGAAAAGAAAAAAAGTTGTCTTTCAAGTCATGATTTGCTTATTTTCCCCTCCACATGTACATATTCTTTGAAGTTAACATATTGACACACCAGATGCCACAGTGCACTATTAGTGTGTCAAATTGCACTACTGTTTGTGTGCCTTCATGCTCCTGAGCAAAATAGACCAAAGCTTTCCACATGGAGAATGTTATAGGCTGTGGAGAGGAGGGAGCCTTACGCCCACACATTTTGTTTCCTAAGGTTGTCTGCCATTGTATCGTCTTATAAATGGAATAAGGAACCCACGAAAACCAAACAGGCATTCCCTTCTTCAGGCAGCTAGAGAGGTGCGCATCCTTTGGAAGCCTAAATTACTCTATACTTCATCTGTTTGAATACTCTTGCTTACACCTCTTGCCTCAGAATAAGTCAAAAGAGAGCTTCCGCAAATACCAACCACCTCTTTGATACCTGCATATCTCACCTGCTCTCAATTCATTCCCACATCACTTTCAAGTAAGGAAATGCATTTACAGATGAAGAACTAAGCTCAGAAAAAAAAAATACTCTGGGTATGAACACAGAACATCTCAGACGACTTGGGAACCAAAACTTTTCTGATAGCAGGGTATCACATATGAGGTTAGGTTGGAGCATGCTATTTCAGTGTGATGTTTGGTGGAACAATAATAAATTCTAGATCAACTACGTAACAAACCAAACATAATCAAAAGAAAAAGTGTCTAGTCCGTTTTACCGTGGTCTTTTTCAAATTTGAGATAACAGCATCTAATGTGTTACCTGAACACGTTCAAAAATATCCGCTTGCTCATTATCAGTTAGTGACGACAGATGTCTCTGAATTACAAGTTTGGCCCTTGGTGGATAGAGTCCTGAGAAAAGAAAGGAACATTAAAGTTTCTAGATTCTCAAATGATGTCTCAAAAAATTTCTGAAAAAATGATAGTAGAAGATATAAGCCTCCATATGAGTTTATACAAGTTTAATGTATGACAGTTGTATATCTGCAGTATCCATGACACAAAATACTTCAGGTTTTGCTAAACCACATGGTTTTGTCTCCTTTCTTTAGCAGTAAAAACAGAACTAGCAGCAGCTAAGTGGCTGGCTCCCGTGGAAAAGGTTGTGCTCCCTACTCCACCGATGTCTTCTGTCCTAGTACCAAGAGATCACTAAGATGGAAGCCTGACAACTGTATGGGAGAGGAGGAAGAGAGGAACAGATCAGGGATACAACTGGAATGATACTCAATGCACAAGACACTCAGAAGTTTTCAGATGCTTTTAATTGAAAAGTTTAGAAGCATTTCTACACAAGGAAAGGGTAGGGTATAGGTCATACTAGAGAACTGAAGACACTTTTAAAAGCAAGAGCAGCATAAAAGCCGTTAAGAATAAAGGAAAGAATCTCTGATGTTTGATAAAGCACACGTTTGCTCACAGAGCTTGTTCTAGGAAGCTACAAAAACCGTGGGGAAAACAAACCCCCCGAATCAGATGAAGATGTAAGTTTTTGCCATCCAAGGAAGATATCATTCATAGAGAATTGCAATCAGAACAGATCAAGATTTTCCAAAGTCATGAAGCCCTGGGTTTGATTATGATAAACTTCTAGACTCTAAACAAAGCAGACAGATAAAAAGAAAGTGACACTAAAAATAAAGCTTTCAGTCACTAAGTACAAAGTTTATGAAACTACTATTTTGGTATTCAAGTTGTTACCTTAGAAGAGATTTTATTTTGATACTGGATACTTATCCCAGGCTTGCAAGTACCTGTATTCAAGATACTTACACTGCCTTATACAGCAGCCTCTGTAGTTTTTCATTGACAGAAGACTTTCCCAGTTAGGCTTTATCACTTCTGAGTATCTTGTAAACCTGGAAAATACCAGTCACAACCTAACAGAATTTCACTCCACTAAGATTTTATACTTTGCTTTTCATCCACCAGAGGGAGGTAAGTAGCAATAGTGACTTCTAATGAATGGGAGAACTGGCAATTATCAGCACCATCATCACCAGACCAGAAGATGCAAGACTAGTGTAATATATTTGCTTTTTTTGCATACAACACTTCGCAAGGAGACATAGTGGAGTGACTATAAAAATAGGATCCTGCACTAACTTTTTTTAAAGAATTCTATCTTGTAAGATTTTTTGCCTGTGTTCTGGCATACCTCACTTCCAGAGAAACTACAAAGGTTTGTGTATTCATATTTGAAGCCCGGTAGTTGCCTTAACTTTCTTTATTAGATATTAACCTCCTAACTTAATCATTTATTTCCCATAACAGAACTAGGTTTTGAAGTGTGTAAGAGAATAAACACAAAGAAGGAAAAAATAACCCCACACAGAAAAACACAAAGAAGGAAAAAATAACCCCACACAGAAAAGAATGAACACACAAGAAAGCAAGATCCTTTTTTGATCACAACTGTTTTTTTATGATCCATTTTGAACGAATATATCTTCAGAAAAAAATGGAAGAGGAACTGTTGGGTTTTTCTGCTCTGCTTAACATTTAAGAGAGGTACAATGATGAAAGAGCATGTATTTATAACACAAGCTATACTATATTCAGTTGCAATATCATTACTGCTACCACCTACACATGATTACAGAGAGGGCAAAATGATGGTAAGAATTGCTCATTGGGATACTTTTCCCTCTGTTCTTACATTGTTTAAGTTGAAGGTGCACGGTTGGCATAATTAAAATTAACAGATACAGTAAAATTCTTCTACAATAATAAGAAAAACACAATTGGAAAATAAACTCAGCTGCTACCTTCAATTCTTTCACAAAGTTTGTGCAATGAATGCATAGGGCAGGCCTCACACAGTTTAATCTGCGTCTTGGCATTTTGCAGAGCTGCAGCGGTGCTAAAGGCTTGTTTCAGGGTAAGCATTACCTCATCAACCTAAAGGGGAAGGAGGGAAAAGACAGTATATGAACACAAATGCATGCCACATACATCAAATTAGATCTATAAATCACATCATAGACAGGTGCTTTACAATCAGAAAAACCCTGTTTGCTGTCTTCTAAAGAGATCAAAGTTGTATTCCCAGCTTTTCTGCCTTTTCTGTGGATGCTCACCATCCTCAAGCTGTTGTTACTTCAGAGAGTGTAATTTTGAATATCTAACTGCAGCTACTCAAGCTTACTGGGCAGGCAGCCGCTCTTTTAAGAAGCCGCAAGTGGGAACTTTTGGCTTGAATATATGCTGGCTAAATAAAAAGCATTAATTTCTTTTTCTTTAGCTTCAAGTTTCTCCTGTGAACTGCACATGCTCCCTCTCAATGATTTTCCTCCCACTGCTGTACCATTTTAGAACAAAACCCCACAGACCCATCCTGCAGGCAGACAGGAGCTTCCCACAGCAGTTCACTTTTCTCCAGGCTACTAGACTGGCTACCAACTTCATTACAACCGTCAACTTGTCTTTAAATACTGCCGGCCTGCCTTGCAGTCTGCCCTGATCTTTCCTCTGCCATTACCACAAATATAGCAGTGCTATGTTCCCACACGCCAGCACTGGAAAAGCTCAACTTTTGCGTAAGAAAGGTCGAGGTGACAGCGTTTCTTCACACTCATTCAAATACACTCCCAGACCTTATATACAAAGCATTTGGAGTTCCCCTGTCTGTATTTTAGGGGAATACAGTGCTTACTAAAAGCTGTTTACTTGAGTCTTTGCATTAGCACGGAAAGGAGGAGACAACAGTTAGACAACAATCTTAGGAAATAAATCAGTATTCCACTTCAGAATCAGGTCCTTGCTCTTACCTGTTGTTTTTTTTATAAGCAACAGGTAAGTTTGTATCCCAATATATTTAGTTTTGTTTGTTTGTTTTTTAAAACCCACAGTTTCAAGCACTACCAGTAACTCCTGGGTGCTCTCTTCTTAGCAATAAAGCAGGGCATTGAAAAGTGAATATCCATCTTGCAATACAGACTGATAATTTTTAAAAGTTGGCAACAATGCCTCTCAAATGGAATATCCACAGAACAGTGCTGAGCATATGGACTAAAATCATGAGAACTGTAGCACAGACTGTAGCTGGGTTTAGAGCAAATATACACAAGACTACCAACATAGCCTGCCTGGCAGCACAGAATCCAGAAATCATTAGGTTTTACAGCTCTGCCCTGCCACAGTCAAACTGTCACCGGGGTCCAAGTGATTGCATCTGAAAATAGCTCAGGAACGTTCATTTCATAGTGCAATGTGGGCATACCCACACATATCAGTACTAGGATATATAAAGCGGTTCATAAATACGTGGTTTCTTTATACACCACATTTTAAGTCTTTGTATTATGCATGGGCAGGTTTATCAATAGGTCAGATGTAACATTTTCTGTTAGTACAAAGAGCGAGCTGATTTCATTACAAGCTCCCATTTTGATAAAAGTGCAGCCTCAGCTAGGGCTGTTAGCTATTTGAAGTTTTATTGATGTAAATCTATTCAGTCTCAAGCTAGTCAATGGATTAGTGAATTACATTTTCAGCTAGCTAGAAGAGTGATTTTTAAGTTTAGCTGAAAAAGAGTTTAGCAGCTGTTAGCACAGCCATCAGGAACAAACATGTTTCAGAACAGAAACCAACTTCTTTTAAAGTGCCAGAGTTTTAAAATAAAAATGTAGTAGCCAAAATTATTTCCTGTATGCATCTCACGTTATTAAGCTATCCGTATCAGTTAAATCACTGGCACCTGGAACTTCAATTGATTGATACATACTTTATCAAGTGTCCAATGGACTTTTTTATAGTTACAAACATCCACGCATATTATGGTTTTCTTCTTCTCTGATCAGATGCTATTTTCTTCTCCTGAGGAACAAAACAGACTACAGGGAAAGGGCTAAAGCTACGTGCAGGCTGAAGACATATGCAGGATCAGGCCAGTAGTTTAAACCCTACCCTGAAAAGTATGTTCAGGTTTTATCATCAGCTTTGTTACTGATTCAATACATGTAATTACAGGTTTAATGGGGAGCCAAGTGTCTCAACAATTAGAAATGCAAGAGTTACGATCAAATACAGAGCCCAAATATGCTCACAGTCTGCATGTGTGAACTCATCCATCTGGATTTTTTCTATTTGTTATTGATATATGCATCAGCAGAGTACCAGGATATGGCTATATATGAACAGAATGTATGCATTTCCTATTGCATATTTTCATATTCACAGCTGAGGTCTCATACCTGAGAAGATGTGACCACTGAGGCTCAGCTGACACAGCAGAATAACAGAGACTCCCATGGCTTAGGAAATGCCTCAGACACCCTCCGATGGAAAGGTTAGGAACATTAATAAATACTCACCAGAGACTCACTTGCACACTGGAACACATAGCAAACATACTGGCTTAACCCAGGTTCAACAGATTCCCGGCAAATGAAGCCAAAGTGATCAACATGTTTTATACCCTAAAAGAGTTTAAAAACAGCATTAGTGGACTATTTTATAAACAGGTTTAGTTTCCAAAGTGATCCTAAAAACAGTTACCAGACTCCAACACTTGCCAACACAAAAACTGGAGAAACTATAAATGCAGACTCCTAACGATCTGTTTTACAGCTACAATAGTTATCTTTTAAGTTGCTTTTTGCATTTAAAAGTTACATAAAGCTCTTTACGCTATCAAAACAGAAGTTATACAGCAATAGACCTGGACCTGAATTTCTTCCATTCGGAAAACTGGATTTTCAGGGAAGCAAACAAAAGAGTCCTAGGTTGTAGCTGGAATTGCCTCTGCAGTGAAAACTTGATGTAATGAGCCCACGGTAAAACATGGGACTGGAGCAGCATCAAAGTAGCAACAGATCTTCGCTTTCCTGTAATGCAAGTTTGGACTACACCAAAAAGAGCAAGGCATGAGTGGTGACATGCAGAATTCCAACCAAATTCTTAGGAGACTGAGTTACAGACCAGAAGTTTCAAGACTTACTACACATTACTAATGACGTTTTCTTTCAAGATCCTAGTCTAACTGCTTGACAGAGAATGCTGCCTTGCTAAAAACAGCACTGAGAAGATCAGAGAGCTGCTTCCTAAGAAGCACTATATTCCCAGTCTCAATTCATGGAACATGACTCACTATTGTTAATGCTTTTGCCAATGTTTTTATCCTCCAAGTACGGTAATAGTAGATTTTCTCCAAAAGAAAGCCTAATCCCTCAAGTTCAAATACAACAGAAAGCAGCACTCGGTTGCTTAGATCTATCTCCAAAGAAACCACCTATATCGTAAAAGAGAGGAGGAGGCAAAACAACTTGCTTGTCACTACACAAAACACTCGAGACAAAACTGGTAATGCACCACATGACAGATTGAACATATCGTCACTACACACTGTAGTTTTTAAAAACAAAATTCCAAAAGTTGCATTTGTGCTACTTAAACAAAACTTAAGAAAGGTGCAGAGGGCGTCTAAGGTGGCGCAAATGGCATTAGTTTACCATAGCCCACGCTAATCCTGACGTAACCCATTCTCCTGTGACAAGTGAAGTCTTCAAAAGCATAAAATGAAAAAGAACAGATGTATACACATACCTTGATCTATGTAACAGTGAAGTGTTGCCCTCTGTTTTGCAAGGATACCATATTTACTTAAGGTGGTTCAGCGAGATGCCAGTTCCCTCACTGCTGACAGTGCCTGAACAACTCTACTGCTGTCTGATTTCTCAGTCTCCACAGGAGAACATTTGTGGGGAACATGGATGTAACATTTGCACCACTGAAGCATAACTAGCACAGTACGTTCCTCAACTAACAGTACCTCCATCACATTTCTTTAAGAGGGTGGCCAGACTTGTCATGCCAAAAGAGCAAAGTTGTTTGTTGTTCTGGGTTCCCTCAAGGTCAGTCAGGCTGCAACAAGAAAACTTCTACAGCTGTCTGACACCTGAGCTTAGACAGCACACACAGGGGTTTATCACCAATTATATTTGCTGCTTTGACAATTATATGGAGTGCGGATAATGAACTGAATGCAGCAGATCAACCATACTTAAGCTATAGAATAAAAATACCTTTATTAGACCAGACTAAAAGAATCCAGAATGCATGCTGAAGAGAACATCTCCTTTTCATTGTTTGTAAAGCTTAGAAGAACAAATATTCCAAAGCTGCAGTCTCACAATATGCAGTAAATCACTGCCCTATAAACCCACAACAGAGAAGCCCTGTAGCAAGCACTGAGTTCTTTAAAGAAGTACTGGTGAGTACTTCTCACCAGTTCCAAATCCTTAATCTTGAACAAATTAATGTTTCATTTCTATTGAATATAGAAAAAACCCCGACTTCCCTAAAGTAGCCGTTTTGCATTAAAAAAAAAGAAGCAACAAAACCCCCACAGTATTGTTGATGCCTGTTTGAGTTATTCAAGCATGCAAAATAACAAAAGCTTTGCTCCAAATGAAAGTTGGGGCTAAAGCCCAACACACAGCATTACCTAACACTATTTACTGTACACAGTTATTTTACTGAAGAAAAGCTAAGCCTTGAAGGTCTGCCATGGTCTTGCTGGTCTTCACCATGCTTTAAAGTCAGCAGAACAAAGGTTGTCCCCGCTTAGGACTGTTTTGTTTGACTATTATCAGCATGTACACGCAACCCAGGAGCCCAGTATGTAAAGTTGAAGTGTCATTTTTATTCAGCTCAGTACACCCACGAAGCGGGAGAAGACTCAAGCCGTCTGCAAATTTTACTTTCCGTACCACTGCTTTAAGAATCTCTTTGATCTGTATTTATTATAAAGCTGTTAATACATCTGTGTTTGATTATACTGTCCCATTCTATATTTGCACTTGCCTTTTTTCTCTAACAAGAGCAATACAAATTGTACTTAAACAGCAGACTCTATTTAAGGGCCTGGATCTTTAGTTGGTAGCTCAAGACTCCACTTGAGTTACAAGTACTGACCAGTTCTTAATTTGTATTAGCATTGGTAGCACAGTCATGCAAGAACAGATTTGTTATTAGCATGAAAATTAAAGCACTTGGGGGTGAAATACAGGTTTAGAGCATGCCAGGAAGTGTAGTTTAAACTAGAATAATAATGTTTAAGGAGGCATGAAGCGATGCATGTGCATGGCGAATGAAAGAATAATGTAATAAAACAAGACCTCAAAAGAGAAAGTGCCAGAAGTAAC